GTAGAAGAAAGAATATTATGTTAATGTTATTTTAATTAATAGTCAAATCAATTGGGATTAAATTATGCATCAATATTGATCGAATTATCGATTATCGAATAAATCGAGATCGATATATAATTCGATTTCGTGTAAGACAAACGTTTCAAATAATTACGCAATAATATATTATATTTGCTTTTGATAAAAATTATGCTGATTAATGATAATTTATAACTCATACGACTGAATGAATAAAGTAGTATTTAAGATCAAAGATGACAAGATAAGTTTCTCGACACAGTGGAAGAAACAAGTTTTCCGTAATCGTGTGTGATTCATAGCACACATGACCTACGCGTGTAAATCTCGTCCAATGACATTTACCATCCACCTAGAACCTTGCCTGGTTTCCTGACCATATTGCATACCATTTGTACCGCAAACAATTTTTTCCAAATACGTGGTTATTTATACGTAGTATGAGGTATTATATGAATAGGCAATTCGTTCCAATTCTAGTTATAATAATAGTAAAACTTGAACCTATTAAATGTTTATATTATTTTAATGTAATTATATTTTTATTATATTATACGATTTTATAATTTTAATCAAAGTTGGAAATTTTTTTTTTTAGAGATTTGAAATGAAAATAGTAAATAAATAGACAATTGTTTATACTAGTTATAATAAATTTGAGAATAAAAATGTTTGCAAATAAATTATGAATTTTAATTAGAGAAATAAAACAATTACAATTTTTTTCAAAGAAAATTTGAATGGAATTTTTCATTTGTAAAAAATGTTCGTTTCTCGAAGTGATAAATGTTGCATTTACGTGTTAACAGAATAAGAAAAAGCAAAACTATTTATATATTCTAAATTAAAAGATTCGAATAGCGAATTTTATTGTGAATTTACATTGGGAATTTTAAATAATAACTATAATAATTTTACTTAAACGAATTTCCAATTTTTCAATATTTATAAAAATCTTTTAAAATTTATAAATTCTACGTTTATACCTTAGATACTAATAAACTTTGCTCTCAAAAGTGGAAACGTTATTACATAATTTCACTAGCTACGAGACAGATTTAATTTTCTCGTCTTTGAAAATAACTCTTTCCACGATATTTGAATTACAGATACAAATTTACCTAACTGATATTACTATTTATATACAAAACGATTTTACCAAAATATATAAAACCAAAAATTAATTATTCTTTCAACATAATAAATTTTTTTTTTAACACTGTCTAAAGTTATTCTAACTTCTCAAAAAATTCAAAAAAAATTCTACAATAATTATTAAACTACAATAATTCAATGAATCAAATATTTGAAATCTCGTTCAATAAAGAAAATGTAAAGTATTTCTCGCTTAAATGCACAATTTTGAATCCTCAAGTTAAAACAAAAAGATTTATTAAACAATTGGAATATCCAATTGAATATTCACATTCTCAAAAAGATCGTTCACAACACTGTTAAACTTCCTAATTCTTTTATTTTCAATCTATCTTACAAATTAAATTCCGAGCGAAAAGAAAATAAACCTGAACAAAACAAAAATAGCGTACAGAAAGACTATTGTATAACAGGTAATCGAAAAAAGATTACATTCCCTAGGAAGCTCGCATCAGAGCAAATCCCGTGGGAAAAAATATGAAATCTGGCCGAGGTAAGTGGTTGGAACCGTTTTCATCGTAATGTTGCATCCATTTTACCGGGAAGTTCTACTTTCTACTCAAGCTGGTCGAAAGATACAGGTTGACAAACGGGTGGGAAAAGGAGGAAAATAGGTGAGGAGGGAGAAAGAGAGATGGTAGAAGGTAAAGGTTGAGGTTAAAAAGAAAAGAAAGAAAGAAAAAACGGTGCCAACAATGCATCCCCGGTTATTATGAAACTTGAAATCGAAATAACGTGCGCGAGTACACGTACCATGAGTACGTGCTTGATGCCAAAGACGTAATAACTCGGAAGTACTCGCGTGTAACGTAACGTTTAGGCGCGAGTGCGCGACCCTTTATGCTCGAGGGCTCGTTAATTACGTGAAAAGACGCGACCGTACGCGCACGCGAAGTTGCGCAGCGTTTATGCGTAGAGAGGAAGGGGAAAATGGTAGTAGTGGTGGGAGAAGGTTGTTCGGTGAGGATGAGGTTTTTATGAACGTTAGGAAAAGTTATATTATGAAATTGTAGAATTCAATAAAGTATCTTAGATTTCTTTTAAAATATCGTAAAGATATTTCAAGTTTTTCTCGTTATCTTATAAATACGATTATTATATAATATGTCTGATATACAGAATATTTCAAGTTTTAGATTTAAATATAGATAATGATTTTTAAAGATTTTTATATATTTTTAATAATTTGTTAAGCTTTATTTTTTTTTCTCACAAATGTTTCATTATTTCTGAACGAAAATGTACTCTCTGCTCGTATTTTTCTAATCTTTTGATCTTCTAATCTCTATGAATCTGTATATGTATTTGTTACGTGCATACATCACGTGTATGTACTAGTTCTTATGTTTCCTCACGACTTGGCAATGGTAATGAGCGTAACAAGTCCGAGAGATGTCTCTTCACGGTCAATCGTATATCCTTTCAAGTGAGTCAAGACGTATGCACTTCCTACATCACGTTAATAAGAACGTACACGTACAAATGAAAATGAATTTCATTATGTTAATATCTCTGCATCACTCGTGTCGTGTTGACAAAATGCAATATGTATGAATCTCTTATATGTGTGAACACGATTTATAAGCATCTAGGACACATCGTACTAAAATAACATGCTATTCTGAGATTTCCATTATTACGTGATAATTGTTTCTGCGATTTATCTGTTTTTTTTTCTTCAATTATTTCTATAATAGTTATATAGAAATTATAAAAAAATTCGATATTTCTTGAATTATTGAATTTTAAGATTTTAATTTTATTTATTACGTTTATATATGAATTAGACCACATAGAGTATCATATCAAACCAGATATGATCGATAAGCGCGCAATGCGTAAGAAACGATGATTCGCAACGAAGTCCTTCAATGTGCACACTTCCGCCAGACGGGCTGTCGATAATTGGAAGTCGTTCCACTTCTTTGCCTTTGCCAACTCTCATCTTGGAATGCGACCGGTTACAGTGTGCATGCCGACACGTTTCATCGAGGTCTGCACGGCCAACCGTGTCGTAACACAGCAGGAAACGGTACAATGAACTTCTTCATGCTCGAATAGAGATACATAGGTAGAAGTGTGCTTTTGGAGATTGCTGACATTGTCATTAAAAGGAAGAAGGATAAGATGAATAGATTATATTAAGAATGCAGATAAATCGATAGGAAAATATGAATTTTGTTGAAGAGGAAGAGAAATTACATGGATGTTGCTGTATAATTGATAATTTGATTAATAAGCAGTTTTGAATTAAAAGATTAAAAAAAAAAAATTGATTTGAGAAATTCGATTTTTGAAATTTATCGATATATCAGAAATTATCGATTTATCAGAAATTATCAGAATTTAATTGTTGTAATTATAAATTTTTTCAAAAATTTTTTTACAAATAGAAAATAAGACAAGGAAAAATATCGGGGAAACTGATATCGATTCGATTCAAGAATCCCAATCCGAAAGCGTCTAGATATTACACCCAAAGGAAGCAAGAGGATAGAAAAGGAAAAGGAATAATACTAAAAAAAGCTAACTGGATCGGGCTCGAAAAATCTCAGATTGAGAAATTCACGAATATCACTTTATTTATAAAATTGCTAAAATTGTAACTTTAAAGAAAATTCCGCGTAAAAAACTAATCAAAAAACAAATGAAAAAAAAATAAAAGAAACAAAAAAAATTGCTTATATAATAAAATAAAAAAGAATTAAAGAAAAATATCGATGATATTCATGATCCATTGAATTCTTTAAATTTAAATTCATTATAGATTAAATCATTCTTTTTTTTTTCATTTCTTGTACAAATAATAAATAAACAAAGAAACAAAAAAAATTGTAAAGAAGAGAAAAAATAAATTAATTCAATTCAGTTCATCAATTCAATAATCGGCAAATATTAATATTAGCTAGTCGCGCAATAAAGTGACTCCGTTGCGTATCGTATTCCATTCCGATTGGAACGCACGTGAATTGAATTTTAAAAATTCACTGTGAACCTGATACGCGATTACGCGCCTCTGTAAGCTAAAACGATCCGTACAACTTGCTGAACGATCAACGCATCGATTTAATCTGATGCTTGATCCGCGTTTAATCGATGCATTCGTTCGTAATTTTCCATCTACGAGAATATCTGATTAAGCATAATAGACAATACCTTGTTAGTTTCTAATTCGCTTTCATTATACATCTCATAATATAATGGTGCCTCAATGACAAGTTAAGAAAAGAAAAAAGATGTTCACCCATAAATTCATTGCGAATAACTAGAATCTAAGCTTCGGGATGGATCGATAGAATTCGGTTAAAATCGGAAAAAGTTGGATAGAAACTAACGATATCTCGATTTAAGTAGTCCAACTTCAGATCGGTTCGGCTAAACTCGGATGCGATCAGATTGCGAATTCAAGATCCAGTTATTAAAAGTTTACAGTCGTCTAATTTTTATCAAACCAATCCCAAGTCAAACTGTCTTCTAAAGATTTCGAATTTATCAAAATATCTATTCCAATTTTTTCCAATATATCCTGTATATATAGAATATATGCACTTTTCTTACAATGTTCGTGACGAGAAAATTTTAAACGGCTCAACGATGAATTCCTTCACGTTTTATCAGCGTTAAATAGTTTCATTCTTTGGCTATATATTTAACAGACAGCGTAGTACAAAGAATACTCGTTTCGCATTTGAACTTCGAGTGAGTATACCGTGGCGCTATAACAGTTTAGGAGAGTAGAATTTGAAGAATATATATACGTTAATGAGCAAAAAATGAGGGAGCCACGTTTAATGGCGTTTGGAAACTACTTAGTTCTTATCGAAGGAGGACAGTTAGGAATGGTAGAACGGCGATTTTCTGGTTTCAAACGATAACATGTGTTCGAGCGTTGAAACGTATAATTTATGTTTACTTTTTACATTAAAATAAATTATAGATAACTTTTTTAAATTTTTAAATTTAATAAATGATTTTCATTTTTATGAGAAATTTATTATAAAATAATTAATTACTTGATTATATGAATTATATCTAATAACTTACAAATTTTTAATAAATATTATAACAATTTATTTTAAATTAGCAACAATTAAAAATATCATTAAATTATTACATTATCATTATTCATTGAAAAATAGAAGTATTATGAATGTTAAAAGTTCTCTGACTTTAGATTAATTTTCTACATAACGGGTTTCTACAGAAGTTAGAAAATGAGGAAGAGGAATAAAGTCAAGAGGATAGAACAAATTACGTCGTTCCACTAAAGTATCTCGGCGACGAGAATGAGGCAACGTCAATCAAAACGCTTCTTCATTCGCATCTTCGAGAATTATTAACTACACGATAGACAGAATTATTAATTGTATATCGTTATCGGTCTAAACAACATTCATGTAAAACGCGATCGTCTAGTTGTTTTTCGTTCGAGTACATCCACTCGTCAAGAAATATTTCTTGCAATTCTCGAATAATGATATATCATTTTAAATTGGTTCAAGTCTCCTCTTGTATTCACGAAGAAACACTTCCGCGTGCGTAGAATCACGTCTATATTATTCAAGCCATGATAGAGGATAAGTGGAAATCTTGGATATAATTAGAATTTCAAATATAAAATCTTATAACTTTAAATAAATATTTAACCTCGAATATAAAATTTTTTAACATTAACATTTAGGTTTACGTAGTAATTTTTATTTCTAATTTCTAGATTAAATATCCAAAATTTAAATAGTTCTATTCAGTTCTATTCAATTTTGATCATACTTTTCATATTTCTAAATTTTAAAGAACAAGTAACAAATTTTTTTCTCCATCAATCGTTTTCAATCAAATTTCGTTTGTCTTGCATTTCATGAAAAAACGCATACGTTACTTCGATTAAAATCGATATTATCGAAGCAACGATACCGTACGAGGTATACATAGGTATAGTTGAGGGAAGAAATAACGGACGGAAAAGAGGAAGATAATAGAAGGAACTTATGATTGGCTCCAAATGAATTTCCAACTAACCAATTTAATTCCGATTTCCGTGTGCGATATGCACTCGACTATTCATAATTACTCGATAGTTAGCGGCCACAGGGATCGAAGTTTATGGCTTCGCAACTCGCCAGTAATCGGATTGTCTGTCGACTGACCGAACGAACGCTTCCATAATTCTTTGTACGTAGCATAAAATCGAAATGGAGGTTGCGCTTTGCGCATCGAGCCACGTTGGCACGTTCTTCGCCGGCTAAAATTCTTTAGGATTCTTCTTAGCAATTTTTAATCCCGTGTTCTTTATATCCAATATTGTGCTTAAGTATTACTTATTGCAATAATTATTTATGAAGATTATTGATTTTGATGACTTTGAGATACTTCTGTCAAGAATCTTAAATAATTTTATCCGCCTCTTAATTTTGATTTTAGAAATATACGCAAAAATATTTGTTGACATTATATATTATATTTTTAAAGCTCAAGATAAATTTAATATACGTAACTTCTTTTATATGCTAAATTCTACAAAATTAATCTTTTAAATTATTTTTAAATAATTATTTAGAAAAATAAATTTTCTCATATAATTTTTTTTTAACGAAATTCTATTTGTTTCAATTGCATAGTTCATTATATTTCACGTCAGTGAAAAAAATCAGATTCATTGCTTGCTATAAATATTGCATTAACGTTTTATAGTTTGAAAAATTAGCATATATTTATTATTAATTTTTTCATCTCGTTTTTTTCCATCAAGTGTTTCATATCGATCGATAAAAATTATCAGATATATTTTCGTCAGTAAAGTTCCTTTCAAAATTGTGTTTAACCAATCGTTTTGCAAAGATGTTATTCTGTCGTGTCTGGCGCAAATCGAAGCGTTAATATGAGAAGTTTCGCGTGAAAAGTTTCGCAAAATTACATTACGTTGAAAAGTTTTCACGCCTTATTAAGATCTTATTAGGAGAGGGCAAAACGTTTTTAAAGATATTTTCGTTCTCTTTTTCTTTTTATTTTTTTCATCTTTCTGTGAAACATAATATTCTCGTTTTCGCGAATGCTTAATGCTGTGTTATAACGTTGTTTACGATATATTTCGAAAACAATATCACGATGCTTTAGAAGTTTTGAGTATACAATGTTGGAAAATATTACATTTATGGATGTTTATGGCTGAATAAAATTGATTGTAAAATGACGAAAGCATCTTTATATTTATTATATTTATTTGTTTATTAAAATAAATATTTTTTTTAGGAATTTAAAAAATTGGAAAATATTTCACGTTTTTATTTATTTATTTTTATTTTATATTTGTTAAATTCAAAATGCACAGTAATTTAGTAATTTATTCAAATAATAAATATCAAAATATTCAAAAATAATGTTTCAAAGTTAAAAAGAATACTTTTCTCTCATAAATAACTTAAAAAGTTAAACTTAAAAATGAGAAAATAAAGTTATATATATAATATATATAATATATACATAATATATTTGTAATAAATAATCAAAATGCTTTTACGTATTTACAATACAATATAACTTTACAACAATACAATTTAACGTATGTAATAAAGTACGACTACAATTACAATATAAATAATATATTGTAATGAAATAATATATGTAGATAATAATTGTTGAATTATCCTAATTAACAAATAATTATTTTAATATGAAATGTACGATTCTTTCCATTTTTATTGTTTAAACCGATAATAAATCAATTCACATAATTATATTTTTATTTTCCAAACAATAATGAGAAAGCATTTTTTTCTCCTTTTTATAATAAAAATATTCATTTAATTCGGAATTATAGTCTGTAAAATTTCCTCATGCGTAAATAAATGAAAATCACTTTTGGAATAATACTAGGTTGTTTTGAGGAATGCGAGTAATTATTAGGAACATCGTATTATTAGAACTGATAAAAATCGGCTCGACTCGGTAAAAGTCGGGTGAACTCGGTTCGAGGATCCGAGACCTAGCTTATTATAGCCTTCATTTAATCATATCCAATTATTGCCGAGTCGATCCGAAGTCACTTAAGATACTGAATCATTCGGAATCCAAATTTTTTCGATTTCATAATCTTAATAACTCTTATACCGCTATGTATTACCATAACCGTTAAGCAATCTCAAGAATGACTTTCAACTACGTTATATTTAAAACGATTTAAACTTATCAAAAGATAATTAAGAAAATATATTATTCTAATTAAAAAAGTTCACTCTTGTGTCACATTATGCTATTTTAAAATTAAACAAAACTGATATAACAAATTCTTTTATAGATTATATTCTTTCGAAATAAAATTGAACGATTCTCTATTACTTCGTCGTTACAATAATAAAAAATTTCGAACCAACTTCTAATTACACTAAAAATTTTGCACACATCAGCCGACAAAGTTGATAATATAATTTTAACGTAATTATCAACAGGCAAATGAAGGGATGGCTTTCGTTGATCGCAAAGTTCATAGATTAAAATTTAATTTTTTGCTGTTTAAAAATTTATACTTTTCCTCTGCATAATATGCGCAACCAGGATATTGAATTATTATTATCGTTCGCGTTTCTCATCTCATCCAACTACGGAAAACGCTAATTTACTTCTTATTTTCATAAATCAACCGTATTCCTTTCAAAGATCCATTACCATCATATAAAGCGCGTCTCGTGCATTTCGAGTAATAATATGCATATGTATATTT